CTTGAGGACAAGCAAAAGGATAAGTCTGGGGGAGTTGATATGTCATGGATTTTACCCGCTTTCAACCACGATTTATATATGTTTTCGGAAACAAAAGGATACTTCTAGTGTCTTTTTAGAGCTTTTACAGCTTCAGGTACTCATTGGTGTAAACTAGCCATTATAGAGCTAAAATGAGACTTTATGAAGATATGAGAAAAACGATGTTAAAGCTATCGACCGACGTACGTTTAGAACAATCGACCGATGAGATATTACACATATCGATCGATTGAAGACAATCTACATCGATCAATACATAAGTCCTCCAAAGCGATTAAATAAAGATTAGAACCCCTAATTGCTTCACAAGAGTTTTAATAATTATACTTTAAGTCCCTGGCCGCCTGTAGGCTATATTATGAGGGTTTTGTACTAATTTAGACAGACTAAAAAAAGAGAGATCTTTTGAGACCTAAAATTGAGAGAAGCATCTAGCTACACTTTGAGAAGAGCTTAGGAGTAGAGAGGGAGAGATCTGAATTACAAATCCAGAGAAGATCTTCTCTTTTGCTTTACTTATTACTTTACTGTTTCTCTTGCCATTAATATCTTTAAAGCATTATTCAAACCATTATGACTTTGTCTCTCATGAATATGTTTGAGTAGTCTCTCCTGTTAGATTTAGGTTTCTCATTAAGATTGACTCATGCATTGAATGAACCATTATTAGGGTGTTTAAAATATAGTTCTTCTTCCAGTCTTCATAATTGCTAATGTTAAGGATTGATCACCCTTATCTATGATATTATGACCAATATGGACAAGTGAGAACTTGACAATTACCTAAAATCTAAGTTAATTTAGTGAAGGTTAGAGAACCGTTTCAAACCCGTTACTAGAACTCGCTGGGAGCAATATTTATCGACGGGATGACCATCTTGTCGACCGATATGGAAAAGAGTCATCATTCGATAATTCTATCGAACATCGATCGATACCTTCTCATGGTCATCGAACGATAGTTGTTGACCTGAGGCCAGTGGAGGTTAATCCTTTAGGTTTAAAACCTTAAAAGTTTGAATCCTGAACTATGAATAATAAAAATCCTTTATAACTTGCATGTTTGTCATACCTAAGAAAACACCTAAGTCTAACTACCATCTTTCTCTTAGCAAGCCAATCAATCAATTGAGTAATCACTGCTCACCTTTTAAGTTATTGTTTAATACTTGCTATCTAGCTTTATTTCGAAAACTAAATAATCTGTTGTGTAATCCTAGAGTCTCTCTGTGATTTGATCCCTAACTACTACAATTGAACCTCTTTTGATAAGAGTAAATTCACTCTTTAGGGTAATTTGGGTGATATCAGTAATTTTTAGAATGTCAGTAATAATGGCGAACCAAATCATTTGCATAGCGAATATAATCAGGGTGCTGAACTGATGGTAGATCATAATAGGGTTCACGACATGATTACTGATGTATTTTTAGAAACTACTACAACAATAGCTGATGAAACTGGAAATATTGAAGAACCTAATTTGGTTGCAAAAAGGTTTTATGAAATGCTAGATTCTGCAAATCAACCAATCTACACTGGTTGTAGAGAAGGTCACTCTAAATTGTCTCTAGCAGCTAGAATGATGAATATTAAAACGGATCATAATTTACCTGAGAACTGCATGAATGCATGGGCCGAATTGTTTAAAGAGTCTTTGCCAGAAGACAGCGTGTCAGCTGAATCTTATTACGAGATTCAGAAATTGGTTTATAGTCTTGGGTTGCCATCAGATATGATAGATGTTTGCATCGACAACTGCATGATCTACTGGAGAGATGATGAGAAGCTGGAAGAGTGTCGATTCTGCAAGAAGCCATGATTCAAACCGCAAGGACGTGGAAGGAATAGGGATTGTACCAAAGGATTTGACACTTACCAATTACAGATAGGCTGAAAAGATTATATCAATTTGAGAGGACTGCCGCAGCGATGAGGTGGCATGCTGAAATGTTCAATGGGATAGCGAGATTGCTCATCCATCATATGCAAGAGCCTGGAAACATTTCAACAAGGTACACCCAGATTTTCCAAGAAATATTAGAAATGTCTATCTTGGATTATGCACAGACGGATTTATTCCATTTGGCTAGTCATTCTTACGCCGTACAACCTGCCTCCGGAGATGTGCATGGAAAAAGAATTTATATTCTTGACCATATTAGTCCCTGGTCTGAAGCATCCAAAGTGGTCGCTAGATGTTTTTCTTCAACCAGTGATACAAGAGCTGAAGGATTTGTGGTCCTCAGGGGTGAGCACGTATGATTGTTCTCTGAGAAACAATTTTACGATTCGAGCAGTTCTGTTGTGGACGATTAGTGACTTTCCTACCTATTGGATGATGTCTGGATGGACTACACATGGAAGTTTATCTTGTCCACATTTTCTTGGATCAACGGATGCTTTTCAATTGAAGAATGGTAGGAAGAGTTGTTTGTTTGATTGTCATCATCAATTTTCTTCCCCTTACCCATCCGTACCGAAGAAATAAGACATTGTTTAGGTACAAAAAACTGTCAGAGATAGTCCTCCTCCATATCTCACCGGAGAACAGATCTTAGCACAAATCGATTACTACGGAGCTCAAGAAACGGTTCAACGGGGAGGAAACTGGCATGTTCCTGGAAATATGCCTGATGGATATGGGGTCAGTCACAATTGGCACAAGAAGCGTATATTTTGGCAGTTGCCTTATTGGAAGGATCTTCTTTTACGCCACAATCTCGATGTTATGCATATAGAGATGAACTTCTTTGACAACATCATGAATACAATACCGAACGTCCCAGGAAAGACAAAATATAGCAAAAAGTCAAAGATAGACATACCTGATATTTTCTCAAGAAGTGAGTTACATATCAAAAGCAATTGAAACATTCCAGTTCCTATCTTCTGATTGTCATCAGAAGCGAAGACAACTTTGTTTAAATGGGTTACATCAGAAGTTAAGTTTCCTGATGGATATGTTTTTAATCTCTCAAGATGTGTTCAATAAGGTCAAAATTTCTCAGAAATGAAGAGTCATGACTGTCATGTGTTTATGCAACGACTATTTCCATTTGCTTTTGCTGAGTTGCTTCCAACAAAGATACATGAAGCACTTGCAGGAAAATATAGTTGATTAGTTAATATTATATATACATATGTTATGAAATGTTATTTACTGGATTAATTTTGCAATGTGCAGCCATTGGAGCATTCTTCAGAGACCTAAGCACACGTACACTCAAGGAAAAAGTTATAGAACAACTTCATGAGAACATTTCGATCATATTGTGCAACTTAGAGAAAATTATGCCTTCAGCATTTTTTGGCATCATGGAACATCTTGTTGTTCACCTCGCATACGAGGCACTGCTTCGTGGTCCTGTTCACCATGGATGGATGTATTCGTATGAGTGCGCCATGAAACATTTGTAGGGGAAGGAAAAAAATCTTGCAAATGTGGAAGGTTCAATAATTGTTGGGAGTTTGACAGCGGAAATATCTCACTTCACATCATACTACTTTTCACCAACAATACGTACAAGAAAAAGAGTTCCTTGAAGATATGATGATGGTGGGAGTTGTCCCCACATATTCAATAAGCAATGTTCTTGACATTTTCTGCCAAATTGGACGGTTTGGTGGTAGATTGCAAAAATATGGTGGTCTAGTGACAAGGATAAGCATAATGCCCACACTTATATTCTGCTCAACTGCGAGCATTTAGTGACACGTACATTTAAAAGGTAAATAGTTATGTGAAATTAAATTATATGAAGTACGATGTTATATTGATGTGAATACATTCATTTAATTTGCAGTTCCTTTGTAACGCAAGTTGAAACAGCAATACCTGGAGTAGCCATAACTAAAGTGGACCGACGAAAAGATCAACACTATGTCACGTTGTTAAAATCTCAGGTAATATTACGTAAGTAATGAACACTATAATATAATATAAATTGTTAACATATAATTTTTTGTAGGTTGAAGATGATGATCCATATTACCCCCCCCCCCATGGTTTCACGATTTGATCCGAGGTCCATTAGCAAAAGTCACCACATCACCTATGTATTTTACACGCGGTTTTACGTTTCATACATACGACTATGGGAGTCGTCGGACAACAAGTAACTATGGAATATGTGTGTAAGGCGAAACATACTTTTATGGGATTTTTCAGAAGATTATTGAAGTGGAATTTGTGAGATTATTGAAGCTCAAATGTGTTCTCTTCAAATGTGAGTGGTTCGACCCTGTTGTGAACAGGGGTGTTCGCTTTAACAAATTTGGTGTTGTCGTTGTCAATTCTACAAGAAGATACAACAAATTCAAAAGTTTCATCTCAGCTTCTCAAGCCGAGCAAGTTAGCTTCATTCCATACCCTCGCTTTAGAAGTTCAGGAATAAATTTGTTAGTTGTTATCAAGATTACACCTCGTGGACAAATAATTGCTAGAGAAAAACCACCTTTGCAAGAAGAAGCGTGTGTCACTGAAGTAGAAGTACTTGATCAACAAACTGATGATATCTTTTTTATTGATCCGCATAACCATCAATACGAAGATCTTCCCGATGATGTGATGGATGAAACATGTGAAGACGAGTTCGATGGTAGCGATGATGATTCTCCTGATGTTGATGAGTACTCGAATGATTCCGAATGATGTAAAATATGTATCAAATGTTGGTAAAAGCCTTGTAATTGTACGAAGAACTTATGAGGAATATAATTATCTATATAAACACACTAGCATACAAGGCTATTCGCCTCGTTCATTCCTCACAACCTCCACTCCCTCTCAAGGTAACCCCCTCTCTCCTTTTTTTAGTTTAGTTTAGGTAGTTAATTAGGTAAATAGTTTAGGTGGTTAGTTTGGATGATTAAGTTATATAATTAAGTTACGTATTAATTAGTTTAGGTAATAAGTTTAAGATAAACAGATGACGACATTTATTTTTTTCATTTAGATGGCTCCTAGACTGAAACCGACTAGACCACCTCCTACGTATAGTGAGCTGTTTGGTATTGATGGTATCGGGTCTTCTGGACCGTCATCTTCTGAGCATGTGCCGGATTCTCAGGCGTATTATCCCGCCAATGATATACCATATAATGAGATGCCTCCACCTCCCGCTCTTGCTCCCGCTCCCGCTCCTGCAGGTGGTGATCAGGTTCATCCAGATTTACGGGTTCCTCTGACTGCACCATATGCTGCCTATACTGTGGAGAATCTTTTTGTCCAACCGGGGCGAGAAGGTTTAGAAATTCTGGACTCCGATCGTCCGTGGGGTACTTATTGGTATGTTTTTTTTTAAAAAAAATTATTATTTTTTTGTTCTAACAAAGTTGATATTATTTTTCAGGTTTAGAGCAAACAACCCCATTAGCCGGAGTGTTTTAGACACGATAAAGGGGTATTTTTTCGAGCCTCATCCGAACTGGAGTATAACTCCAGACCATGTGAAGATAACGTGGTTTAAAAGTGGCACTGGTCATTATCGATCAACAAGAAGGTGAAGGAGGCTTTTGTAGCAAAAGCCAAGACTCGTCTTTGCAACACCGTCTCCGATTGGAAGAACAAATGGGAACTCTACTATTATGTAGGGAAGCCCAAGGATATCTCGAAATTTGTATGGAGTGGTTTCATCCGCTATTGGAGCCTACCTGCCTCCGTCAAAAAGTAAAACTCGTGCTCTTCTTACCGAATAACGAAGGATAAGTACAGCAATGAACCCATGCTTCATAGAATCGGCCAAAAGCCTCACGCCAGATTCGTCTAGATGTTGTAAGTTTTACTTTTAATTAATATTTAAATTTTTTTATATTTTATTTATTAATTAAGTAATTAAAAAAATTAACTCTTATATTTTGTTTGTAGGCCGAGAAGACCGGATTCATGCCATCTCTGACTGAGCTATTCATGATGACTCGCGCCACACCAGATGGAGTTTTTGTGGATCCACGTTTCGAGAAACTCTATAACGATGTGGTTTCTCGGGTTGAGGAGCGGCAGACAGAGCTAACCCAGCAGGCTCCCGATGGGTCACCCGTAACATTGACTACAGAAGAAGTCGACCGGATTTTTGGAGAGGTAAAATTTTTGAATAATTATTAATTTACTTATATTAATTCTATTATATAAAATTAATTTAATTCAATACTAAAGTATTATATGTATTTTTTTTTTGAAATAAGGTGGCTCCTAGAAAGAAGGGACGGACGGTGGGAATATGATCCGTTAACGAAATCCCAAGGGAAACTTCTTCATACATTTTAAGATGGGATGCGGAAACTTCTCAGATGCGGCTCGCATGGACTCCTAGCAGGAGTGTTTGGACTCACTTGAGGATTTATTGGACATTATGGCGACCGGGAACCCGGTTATGCAGAGAGCGCTAAATGAAAGACGAGCGGATCTCGGAATGCAGAAACATCCTCCGGAGTCAACCGGTCGACCCAGCCCGGAACTCACCCGCCCCGACAAGTACCTCCGCAACAACATGCCGTAGTTTTTTTTTATTTTGTTTGCTTTTGTATTATAAATTTATATATTATTTTATGACTTTTTATATAATGCTTTTTCAAACAATTTTAATTTTAAAATTTTTGGTTTTATATTTTAATTTATGAATTTTATAAATAAAAATATATAAAACTTTTTAAAAATTAAAAATTATATATACATCCAAGTAAATTCCTCGGTAATTTTACAACGAGTTAACATAGAATTACTAGTAAGTTCGTTGTAATATTTACTACGACTTTACATGTAATACTAGTAATCTTCTCGTACATTTACATGGATTTAACATCGAATATTTACGAGTCAATTACGTGCAAAGAGAACGTGGAGTTTACGACGAAAGTTAACGTTGAGGTTACGACGAAATATTGTACTTACCTTTTACAATAACCTTCCTTCCTCGTAACATTACGTGGACTTTACGATGAAAAGTCCATTACGACGCGCGCTTAACAACGAAACATGTTCCCTTTTTAATTCGTCGTAATGGCCATGTTACGACGAATTAACAACGAATACAGCCATAGTAAAAAAAATGTTTCTTGCAGTGTAAATCTTTTCTACTGATCACATTTGGTGTATTGTTTTATTATGTTGTATGTATTTTCATAACTTGTTACTATTTTATTAATAAACTTAACTTGTTTAAAAAAAACAAGTTTGAGATTAAAAAAAAAATCAAAATACATTAAAAATATAGATATTAAAGTTTAACTAAATAAATATAAAGTTTCCACGTGAATTGTGGATAATCGCTTAATGAAGATAGATATGTGTTTCTGTTATTTAAAAAATAAATAATTAAAATAATAAAAGGTCATATAACAAGTTTGATAGCAAAGAAGAGTTTGAGTGTCATAAAAAAGATGATAGCCAATTGGTGTTACATAAAAAGAAGCAAGAAGGTTTTGAAGAAAGCTACTTCATGTCTTAAGCTTTGTGTTGTATTGTTTTTAATCTTAGTTTGCATTTACTTTCATTTCTATTACTTTCTATTCTTTTATTGTAATTATATATTTTATTTAAATAAAATAGTTGTTAAAAAAAATTGATAACAAAGTGATAGTTAGTGGCGATTGAGATGACAATTGCTTCTTCTCTCAGTAGTCCAATGTCCTTTTAATCAAGGCGTGTATAAATGGGTTAGTGGGTAGCGGATTGACATGTTTTCTGTGTCTTTCTCTTTTGCTTCTAATATTCGTTATTTTCTGGGAAGTTTTTCAGTCTTACTTATTGCGGGTTGATTTATGTAACAATCTTCGGCATTGACGTTTGACCATGATGATTATGTGTTAACTTTTCAAGGTTTGAAGCAAATCTTAATAGACTTGTTATATAAATAAAGTACATAAAAAAAAAAAACACAATGGATTCAACATGCGAAAGAGAATTTCGAGATTAAACTAAAAAAGTTGTTATCAACCAAAGAAGATCTTTTCCAAATTTATATTTTGATACAATATATTTGGTATCAAAATATATTTACTGAAACCATAGAATACATCAAGAAAGAGACAACAATACAAAATAAATGATGACTCTTTGTTCTATAACTATATTCGTATATTCATTTAAAAATTGATCTATCTAATATTTATTATGGTTAAATCAATTTCGGGATTAAACTAAAAAAGTTGTTATCAACCAAAGAAGATCTTTTCTGAATTTATATTTTGATATAATATATTTGGTATCAAAATATATTTACTGAACCATAGAATACATCAAGAAAGAGACAACAATACAAAATGGATGATGACTCTTTGTTCTATAACTATATTCGTATATTCATTTAAAAATTGATCTATCTAATATTTATTATGGTTAAATCAATTTGTTTTTATACAGAATATCTATAGATCTAAGTTGGAACATTGTAAATGTAATACAATAAAGAGAATTAGTGTCTACAATGCGACTAAGATTGAAATATCGTAACAAAAACAATAGAGTTAATACTATTAAAATGATCGTTCAGAGTAAATCTTTTTAACAGATCTCATTTGGTGTATTGTTTTATTATTTTGTATGTATTTGCATAATTTGTTACTATTTAATTAATAAACTTAACTTGTTTAAAAAAACAAGTTTGATCACAAAAAAAAATTCAAAATACATTAAAAATATAATTAGACATTAAAGTTTAACTAAATAAATTTAAAGTTTCCACGTGAATAGTGGACAAACGGCTTAATGAATAATTAATACATCAAAATTAATTAATTGCTTGGGGAATCTGTCCCTCTTATCTCGATAAAATTACTGGTCTATATAAAATAAAAGTGGCATTTGTTTATTCTTATTTTCTGATCGTACCATCTACCATGTGTTCTGATTTATTATATACGAGTAAATAATCAAACAGAACAATTTAAACTAGTTTTAGGGAAATCTGTCGCTGCCACTTGATAAAACTAATGGTAAATAATTATTGATCAATAAACTTTTACGATTCGACTACAAAATAAACGTGCTCATTTGGTATAAGTTGTTTTTGGATCTAGCAGTGTTGTCACGATCCTTTTTTTCGGGGAATCTATCTCTCTCATTTTGATAAAATTACTGGTCGCTTTTAAAAAGATGGCATTTGTTTATCATCCATTTTTTGATCGTGGCATGTGTTCTGACTTATTATAATAATAAATAAAATTTAAAACACGCGAATTTATAACTATTTTTTAGGGATTTCGGTTCGCCATCTAGCAGAAAAAAAAATATTTCTACCAAAAAGATACTGCTCGACTACAAAAAAATAAACCTGTTCATTTGTTTAGTGGTTTTCTTAGATCTAGGCATCTATCATAGTGTTCTGATCTACTATGATAAGTCAATCCAATTTTGTGTTTAGTTCACTCAGTTGTTTCAAAGCACAAAATGGAAAATAGTTACAAAAATATAAAATATAGAGTATATATAAAATTAAGGAAAAAACTAGTGTAACCCTTATTTATAAATTAATTACTTGTATAACTCGAATTTTATTTTAATTACTAATTTATTTTTCATACTTAATTTACTTCTATTTCTTTTGCTAGCAAAAGATTAATTAGGAAAATACCATTAATGAATTTTGGAATATTTACGACTTTATCACCGATAGACTTATTATGTTTACGTTTTATGTAACCACAAAATTAATTATATTCTTCTTTAGCCATAGATTTATTTTAAAATTTACAGACTTAGTAAAATTTAAACTTTGTAAGATTTAATTAGAAATTGTTAGATTTATTTATTTGATCACAGATTTACTTAATTTGAAAAGATTTACAGAAGATTTGATTGATTTATATTTTTGTTAGCCACATATTTACTTGTTTTTGACAGATTTATTTTTGATTTGGCTGATTTAATATTCTTTGGCCACAAACTTACTTAGTTTTGAGAGATTAAGTTAAGATTTGACAGATTTAATATTTATTTGATCACGGATTTGATACAATTCGACAGATTTATTTTTAATTTGGCCACTGATATTTTTTTTTAATTCTCCTTATCCGGAATGTTTATTGCAAACCATATTAAATCCTTTAATTTGAAAATTATTTCATTACCAATAGTTTAAAATGATTTAACACAAAACGTTTCTGACCAACCATAATTTGAATCAACAACATGTAAACCAAATTTATTTAATTAATCCAAACCATACTTAATTTAAGCCAAACAAAGAAAATCCCTAATCCACAAATCCCTCACACATGATTGCCTTGTTTTATTTGTCGCCCCATCAAGTGTCAACTGCCTTATTCATGACCATGTCAATGGCGTTTTCAGGTTGACACTTATTTCTTTTCTTCTTCTCTCATGGTACAAATAAAAATTGTTTGTGCTCATTGGATTTCTGGTAATGGTTATTTGGTGTTGAAAAAGGAAAGAAGAGTATAGCTATAATCATAGACGACAAAACTAGCTATGATGATTTTTTTTCATCTAGTGATAAAAGAGTACAAGGTTAATGAGCAGATTTACTACGTGGAATTGAGCTACATGTATCCAGAAAAAGGTCTTGGTGATGTTTCCGCAAAACACACCTAAGCCCATAACTAACTAACATGCCCAAATCTGTAAGATGAATATGAACCCTCCCAATGTATAAGAGTCCTTCGCACAGTAATCTGCAAAGTTAACAGAGTATATCGAACTCTAACAAGCTACCCGACCCCATGAATATCTCTGGAAAGCTTTGTAATTAAGAACTCTCTTTGCACACTCCAACGGAATATGATTTAAGGGAGGACTGCCATAAACAACAAGATGAAGAACACATAACAATCCCACTATTGTCCTCTTCTCGAGACTCCAGTTTTTGCAACTTTCCGATGTCGATTAAAGCTGAACCAAGTTACGACCAACAACTGGAGAAATCCCCAACCGCCCATTTGTTTCCAAAATTCTGTATGATCAACATTACAAATGTTTTGTTTTTGAAATTGTACACAGTTCATCCCAATAATCGCACCAAAGTCAATCAAAGAGAGGCGAATGGGCTGCCAATCAACCTGTGACCATATCTCATAATTCTTCCTAACTCGAATCTGATGAGTTAATAGGTGATAGACAAGCTTTGCACACAGGATGGATGAGAGACAAGCTTGCTGAGCTAAAATCAGCTGGTGAGACTAAGGAAGAGCTGAAACAGAGTATGCACAATCTGGAACTAGCTGTAGAAAGTGTTCATGAGCTGAAACCAGCTAAAGAGAGTGTGTATGAGCTGAAACCAGCTCAAGTTACTAAGGATGAGCTGAACCAGATGAGTGACACTAACCTGGAGCTGGATGAGCTGAATGAGCTAGGTGACACTAAAGGAGGAGCTGGATTAGTTGCTGGACGAAATGGGATTTGTTCAGCTCAAGGAAAAAATCATAAAAAGTTCATTAAGGGTCTGATTCATGCCAAATTCGACCAGCCCTTTAATCAGTTTTTTTCTGCCCTTTTCCCATCAAGAATACCAAGGGATAGTCAGCAAGAAAGTCCTGGTCGTGG